GGCAAACAAAAGTCATTGAATGCATTTTAAAGAATGTTTACATGAAGTAAAAATAAACCATGTTCAATTCGTATATTGTGCTGTATTTAATTGCTTTATATATATATTTTTCATATATATAGATGCACCATTAAAACATAAAAAGTCCTGGGGGTTTTTTTACTGTGGGCAGACCTTCAATTAACGGAAATTTTGTGTTTTTTAATTATGGTACAAAATCCGGGTAATGAGCTGCCAGTACTTTTTCCGTTTTTTTACGGAATGTTTTTTTAGAGTGTGGGGGTGCATTTCCCAGAGCCAACTATGGTCGCAAGTTCTGTTGTTGCCAATGGAGTTCAATGGAACTCGCGACCATAGTTTGCTAACGATGCTTTTGGGAAACAAACCCCTGGTTAGTAATGCGTGAAGCTGGTAATGCTGTTTGTGGAGTTGTTTAATCCTCTGCTGAGATCTTGAGAGATTTAATGTCTTCTTTTATAGTCAGTTGTAGTTTTTGTTTTTTTCTCTTTCCTTCAGTGTTTCTGCTAATTAACTGCAGGTGTTCACTAATGCTTAAAAATTACTTAAATACATAATTATCTCATTAATGTTTACAGTCAGTGTTACTTTTACTCCCTGCAGTGTGGTTTTCCTGTGGTGTTAAAAGGGTTAAATGTGTAAGATAAAAAGACACATCAGCTAAATGTATGTTAACAGTAATAAACTGTAAATGAAGTTTACAGCAAGCAAACTACAAATACAGTGTTATATTGGCAAAGCTGCTGCCAGTAGTTTACTGTAAAATTACTGTTAAATCACATTGCACAAAAAAGTGAACTAAATTAAAAGAGAGTAAATGCTGAAATCAAATGTTACTGTATTTCATGTGTTTTTGCACATTATGATATGGGGAGATCTTTTAGTGTTTAATGTTCTGTTCTGATGGGATTTAAAAGGCTTCTGTTTGTCTGAGTTTTGTGGGTTACCATTGTGTTAAGGAGTAGAGTCTGTGTTTAAGTCAAGGATGAGCAGAGAAGTATTGATATTATGTTGTTTGTTGCTTTAAAGGCAGTAACTGTGGAGTTGCTGATGCAGTGATATTTCTTTGCTAGTGCTAATTGCACACGCATGTGTGCTCTTGTTAGCTAGCAGTTCTTTGCAAGAGATTTGAGTTAAATTTACGTTTCTACTTGTAATGATTTTGCCTAATTCAATTTTACTTTATTTTAAGAAACATTATTTTTAGTAGTTTCAGATTAAAAGTGTTCAGACTATTAATGTGCTCAAATTGTTAACACATTATAAATATTAGTTTATAAACATGCATGGCAGTTATTGTAATTTAGTGCATTACAGTAACATACTATAAAGTGGCTAGAATTACAGTAAACTACAGGCAAATGTACTGCCAGTATTTTACAGGACTATTTTGTAGGATATCAGACCGAATCAGACAATCTAAGATTTGGGCAAAACATAACAGTGATTTCCCTTTAAAATCTTAAATGATTCCCTTTGAGCTAAATTATCACTGTTTCCCTTACAATTTTTAATACACTGTAATTGTATATATACCTAAAAACTAAAAAAATATATACAGTACTTTGTAGGTGAAACTGCTGCCAATTACTGCAAATTTACAGTGAAAAGTTTTACAGTGTACTCAAATATTTTTGAATTACACTGTAGTTACACTTTCATTGCATATTTATTAAATGTACAGGACAAGGCATGTGAGTTCTTCCCCATAGATGATGCTACAATCCAGCTTTACCTCTAAGAACTGTCACAAAAGGTTGCAAAATAGACATTGATGCTCAGGGAGCCAACACATTATATTATTAAAGTGCAATTAAATTGCTAAAATTAAATTATTATACTGAAAAATGTTTAACCACTCTCAACTTCCCCTCGAAACAAAGTAGTTTAGCACGGTGGTTCTCAACTCTGGTCCTGGGGACCCACTGCTCTGCACATTTTGTATGTCTCTGTTATCTGACACCCCGTTGAGTTCATTGAGTTCTCTGCTAATAAGCTGATTATCTGGATCAAGGACGTTAAATAAAGAAAACATAGAAAATGTGCTGAGCTGGGTTTCCAAGACTGAAGTTGAGAACCACTGGTTTAGAAACATACAATTACATACGATTTATCTCTATGAAACAGGCATACCTATTATTTGCATAATTATGTATGAGTTTTACAGGTAACATTTACACTCACTAGCATCCTTATTAGGTACACAACTTGCTAGTACCGTATTGGACCTGCTATTGCTTTCAGTACTGCTTTAATTCGAGACTTCCGGTTGAGCATGTGAGTGAGAAGGACAAACGTGGATTAAGCTCCAGAGGATTTTATCTTTTAATTGTACTTTTCAGGCAACCCAAATGATTTTAAGACACTTGGTGCCTTCTTTTCCAATTACTCCGTTTACAATTGTAGCCAGAAAGGATTTTTTGTTTCCTAAAAGGCATCAGAAAACTAAATTGAGAGAGTCATGGCGACAAGCTACCGCTGGATCTGGAAAACCTTCACACCACTTTGATCTCCGAGCTGACATCTTCCATAGAAATACAGGTGAAATCAGCTATTGACTCTGCTCTTGCCCCAGTTGTTGTGTCTTTTCAGAGTTATAAGTCGAGCATTGAATCACAAGGATGACACATTGATGAGCCTGATGCATTACGACTGCATTAAAGCACTGTATTGTCTCAGAGGAGCAAACCAGAATTATAAAAGGACGATATTCCTTTCTAATATTCATACTTTTTTATACTCAAAAAAAAAAAACCCAGCAACTCCTCTGAGGTGGTATTTTCCTTGGACACAAAACAGACGTTTGATAGGATAGAATAGGAATATATTTTTATGGTGCCTAAGGAGTTCGGCTTTGGGGATGGATTAATCATGGATACATTTATTATATGTTGAGCCTCAAGCATCCATATACTAACCATGTTAATTTTGATTATTTTACTTTGTCACAGGGTACGCACTAGGGATGTCCTCTATCTCCCTTAATTTTTGTCATAGTTATTGGGACTCTCTCAATAATGCTTAGAACATTTCCCGTATTTCAGGGAATAATCCAAAAGAGAACTGAACTTAAACTAGCTTTATATGCGGACCAGCTTGTTACTTTGTTACCGATCCAATATGCATCTATTCCCAAGATAATACGCCTACTAGATGAATTTGGGAAATTCTCTAAGCATAAACTGAACCTTCAAAAGACTGAATGTCTATGCATAAATCAATCTAGCCATAAAATAAAACAGACTGACATTCCTTTTCATCTGAATTATTGAAATATTGACATCATAGCATCGGGCAGTTGCTATAGATTTGTGGTTAGTGCATCGATGATGTCAATATCCCATTCCACCACATTCCAAAGATGTTTTTTGCCGGGGTGTCCAGTCCTGTTCCTGGAGATCTACTTACCCGCAGAGTTCAGTTCCAACCCTGATCAAACACCCCTGTCTGTAATTATCAAGCTCCTGAAGATCTTAATGGGATAGTTCACCCAAAAGTGAAAATTTGATGTTTATCTGCTTACCCCCAGGGCATCTAAGATGTAGGTGACTTTGTTTCTTCAGTAAAACACAAACGGAGATTTTTAACACAAACCGTTGCAGTCTGTCAGTCATATAATGGAAGTGAATGGGAATCACGGCTTTGAGAGTAAAAAAAACATACACAAACAAAACCAAATTAAACCCTGCGGCTCGTGACGATACATTGATGTGTAAAGACACAAAACGATCAGTTTAATTTGGTTTTGTTTGTGTATGTTTTATGACTCTTAAAACCGTGATTCCCATTCACTTCCATTATATGACTGACAGACTGCAACGATTTGAGTTAAAAACCTTCATTTGTGTTCTACTGAAGAAACAAAGTCACCTACATCTTGGATGCCCTGGGGGTAAGCAGATAAACATCAAATTTTCATTTTTGGGTGAACTATCCCTTTAATTAGTTGTTCCAGTTGTGTTTGATCAGGGTTGGAGCTGAACTTTGCAGGAAGATCTACAAGAACAGGATTGGGTACAGATTACGATCTGGTGACTGTTGAGGTCATGTGAACTTTTGACATGCTTTTTGACATGTTGCCACAAGATGGGAACATTAAGTGGTCATTAAGGAATGGACATGGTCAGCAACAAATAGTGGCATGATGATTAGCCAAGTATGGTAACCCATTAGCAGTTCATTCACACCCAAAAATAAAAATAAAACATAAGCCCATATCAGTTATACAGTTTGACGAGCATGACGAGGCCCCCCCCACACACACACACTCGTGCCCCCTCAAAAATAATGAGTGCATGACGCCGCTGCTAAGGGGTCCAAATTGTGCCAAGAAAACATCCCCCACACCAATACACCACCATCAGGTTGAACTGTTGAGCCCATGCCCATTGTAGTCTAACTTTCCTGTTATTAGCTGACTGAAGTGGCACTCAGTGTGCTCTTCTGCTGCTGCAGCCTATCTGCAGCAAGATTTAACATGTTACACGTTCAGAGATGCTTTGCTTTTCTACATTCGCTGGTATTAACAAGCGCTTATTTGATTTTCTTTTGACTTTCTATTAGCTTGAACCAGTCTAGCCATTTTCCTCTGACCTCTGTCATCAACAAGGCATTTTCACACAGATCTGCTGCACACTGATTTATTTATTTATTTTTTTCGTTTCAGACCCTTCTCTGAAAACATGGTTTTTCATGAAAATGCCAGTAGATCAGCAGTTTATAAAATACTCCAGCATGTCTGGCACTAACAATCATGCCACATTCAAAATCACTTATAATCACTTTTTTTTCTTCCACATTCTGATGCTTGGCTTAAAATTCAGCAGATCCTCTTGACCCTGTCTACATGCCTAAATGCATGCTGTTATATGATTAGCTTATTAGACATTTGCATTAATGACCTATGGAACAGGTTTACCTGAAGTGGCCAGTGAGTGTACATGTATATTTTACACAGAACAATTAAATACCCCATTAAATACCTCAATATGTTGAGTTGACAGTTTGTACTCTTCAGTCCAGCAGAGAGCAGTTTCACTCCTGAATCCTGCAGGTCATTGTTACTCAGGTCCAGCTCTCTCAGGGGGGAGTCTGATGATTGTAGAGTTGAAGCCAAAATCTCACAGCACTGATCAGTGAGATTACAACTGGCCAATCTAAACAGGGTAAAATAATTCATTACATACACACTGTGTGAATAGAAAATAATGTCTGAGAGCTTTGTATGCATTGTCTCATGTTTCGTATAAGAAGGTGTCTGCATATACCACGAATGTAAAAGGTTTACATCTCACTGTGATACTCAGTTATCTTGTTTAATAGTTATGATAACTATAACAGATCTGCTAGCTGTATTTATAAAACTAGAATATATATAAATCACACATTATTATTAAAATTGGATTCAGTGTGAAAGCCAAACCTCAGTGTGTTGAGTTGACAGTTTGAACTCTTTAGTCCAGCACAGAACAGCTCCACTCCTGAATGCTGCAGGTGATTGTTACTCAGGTCCAGCTCTCTCAGGGAGTTTGATGATTGTAAAACAAAAGTAACAGTTTTACAGCACTGATCAGTGAGTTTGCAGTCAGCCAATCTAAACAGGGTAATGAGAAATAATTAATTACATACACAATGCATAGCTAGAAATTGATGTTTGAGAGCATTTGATGCATTGTCTCATGTTTTTGATAAGAAGGTGTCTGCATAGAACATGAATGTGAAGGTTACATCCCAATATTTTATGAAAGAAATGATAACTTCATATGTGGAGTAATTGATGATCTATTAATCACCACACTATCATCATGTTCTCATCCTTTTTTATTAATGTCTTTCAGTAGATCTTGACCATAAAACACTCATGAATTAAGAGTTCAGGTGGAACAATCCTTAAAGTATATACATACAAAAACACATGAAAGAATATATATTAAAATCTGAACCAATGTGAAACACAAACCTCAGTATGTTGAGTTGACAGTTTGGACTCTTCAGTCCAGCACAGAGGTGCTCCACTCTTGAATCCTGCAGGTCATTGTTACTCAGGTCCAGCTCTCTCAGGGAGTTTGATGATTGTAGAGCTGAAGCTACAATTTCACAGCACTGATCACTGAGATTACAGCTGGCCAATCTAAACAGTGTAATGAAAAATAATTCATTATATACATACTGTATAGATAGAAATTGATTTCTGAAAGCATTGTCATTGTCTCATGTTTCTGATAAAAAGGTGTCTGCATAGAACATGAATGTAAAGGTTTGCATCCCACTGTGATGCTGAATTCTGTCATGACCTGACTTGCTATTGCCAATACATCCACAGACATGCTGCTGCACATATACAATAGAATTACATGAATCCTTTAATAATGGCCACATTATCATACTCTTTTATTCATGTCTTTCAATAGTTAGTTTTCAATATGCTAGCTGTATATATAAAACTCAAATATATATAATCACATTATTTTTTTATTAAAATCTGAATCAGTGTAAAAGCCAAACCTCAGTTTGTTGAGTTGACAGTTTGGACTCTTCAGTCCCGAACTGAGTAGCTCCACTCCTGAATGCTGCAGGTGATTGTTACTCAGGTCCAGCTCTCTCAGGGAGTTTGATGATTGTAGAGCTGAAGCTACAATTTCACAGTGCCGGTCAGTGAGATTACAGCCTGTCAATCTGAAAACAGGGAGGACATGTTGGTGAGCTGGTGTATCCATGAGATTGCAAGACTGTAGGATTTCCTTGTGTAGCAGACCTAACAGTATGTGTCAATACATATTATTTGATTATATGATTTCAGATAATATCATCAGACAGTGCAAATGTGCCCTTGTTTTGTCTCTCTATGGAGTTGTGTAGTCTGGGTGTTTATTTATATATTTTAAATGAAGACTTTGGATAGATTTTTTTAAACAAATGTAAATATGTACTGACCAGGTCACTGAAATTCAGCACTTCAGCTGGAAAAACTTAAAGGGGTCATATGATGCTATGTGTATTTGGTATAACAGAATATGTTGACATGCTTTAATTTTCAAAAAACACATTATTTTTCAAATACTGTGCATTATTGTAGGTCCTCTATGCCCCGCCTCTCTCAAACACGTCGTTTTCAACAAAGCCCCCTCCTTTGACAAGCGCAGTCTGCTCTGATTGGCCAGCTGACCCAGTGCATTGTGATTGGCCGAACACCACAAGCACGCGTCGGAAACGTACCCTTACCATAATCGCGAGCTTCAGCTTCCAAAGTAAATATCAAGAGTTAATAATGTCGTTAGTTTTACCATCAGTTCAAGCCCGAACTTAACTTTTATAAAGAATATCTCTTGAGACTTTAGTCTTTGCAACTTTACAGATCTTCTTTATGCACCAAGAGCTTGTAACACTCCAAAGAGAAAGGAAAACTTGAAATCGCATCATATGACCCCTTTAAAGAATGAATGAGCTGACTTGGCCAAGATACACAGAATGCCCAAAAGCACAGTAATTTTAAGCACGAACCAGAAATTGTGATTGTCTTCCCTGTTGAGACGCACCTGAGTGAAACAGCTTCTTGAATGAGAAAAATGTGGGACTTGATTGTGTCCTTTGGGAACTGATTTGATTTTTGGATCATTGTTATTTGCTGATTAATGTGAACGTTTCATGAGTGACAGGTTGCTGGAAGGATTGAAACTTGTCTGGCTATTGGACAACCTTATTGTACGGTTTAAGAATATTAACTACATCAATCCAAAAACAAGATCATACTGTAGCTACATTAAACTGAAAAAAAGGAAACCAATGAGTATTGCTAAAAAACTGACAATAGTCTAGTCCTTATAAAGACCTTATAAAGCATCTCTGCATTTTTGTCTGCAAATGTATTGATCGTTTCATCTTCCTGACAAAACATAGCAGCCAAATGTTTATATTGGGCCTTTATCTGCATAAATTATATGCCAAAAATATTGTGCATCCCCAGTCTGTAATAAATGTTTTCTTAAAATATTTTTAATTCATTTATTTATTCATATTAACAGATGCCTTACAATTGTATTAGTTTTACTCGTAGCTTGATTATGTTTACAAAGTGTAAACGTTTCAGAAAACCTTTTTTTTATAATTTATTTATAAAATATATTTATTGTATTAATTTGGTAAAGAATTAAAAAACAACACTTAACTACAATAATTTACATTGTATGCTTGTGAACAAACCCAGAAGATCCTATTCACCACCATCAATTTTTGTCAAATATAACTACTGCATGTTTGTATTTTCACACTTACAGAGCTTTTCTGCAGTTCCTCACAGCAGGTAACAGTCTCTGTCTCCCATCTTTTGATTTAGTGGTGATTTTTTTAAGATCAAACTCATCCAGCACCTCCTCTGACATCAGGATTATGTTTGCCAAAGTTGAGCATTGTGCAAGAGAAAGACTTTTTTCTTTTGTTTTAGAGTTTAAAAATGCCTGCATTTCTTTAACAACAGAATTATCCTTCATCTCAATCAAGCAGTGTGACAGATTCATCCATCTTTCAGGACTGACATTGTTTTTTTGACCTCGTTTGAGGTTTTGGGTTATTTTCTTGATGATCTCTGGGTTGTTCTCTGTGTGAAGCAGTACATCCTGTAAGAGTCTCTGATTGGACTCCAGTGAGATGCCATGAAGAAATCGAAGGAAAAGATCCAGGTGTCCATTTTTACTCTTCAAGGCTTTATTCATTGCTCCTTTCAGAAACGCATCCAGAGGAACATCCTCACACTGAGTTCTGAACTTTCCTGTCAGGAACATTTTCAGAATCTCACAGTTCTTGTGTAAATAGCAGAAAAACACATACAGTGCTGCAAAAAACTCCTGAAAGCTCAGATGTACAAAGCTGTAAACCTTCCTGTGATAAATCACAGATTCCTCTCTAAAGATCTCAGTGCAAATCCCAGAATACACTGAGGCGTCAGTGACGTCTATGCCGCTCTCTCTCAGGTCCTCCTCATAAAACATCACATTGCCCTTCATCAGCTGATTGAAAGCCAGTTCAGCAAGTTTCACAATCACTTCTCTGTTGGACTGCAGGAGTTTCTCTGGATCTCTCTCTTCATACTTCTGGTTCTTCATATTTGTTTGAATGAGCAGGAAGTAGATGTACATTTCAGTCAGAGTTTGAGGGATTTCTGCACTGAGATCTTGTTTCAGGAGGTTTTGAAGCACAGTGGATGAGATCCAGCAGAAGACGGGGATGTGGCACATGATGTGGAGGCTTCTTGCTCTTCTGATGTGTGAGATGATTCTGCTGGCTTGATGCTCGTCACTGATTCTCTTCCTGAAATATTCCTCCTTCTGAGGCTCAGTGTCTGAAAACATCAGTGTGATTCTGCTTTCATCCAGACCATCAAAGATGAACACAACTTTACACTCCTCATAAATCTTTGAGTCCAGATCTTGAAGTTCAGGATGAAAGTCAAGCAGAAGTCTGTGAAGACTGTACTGATGATCTTTAATCAAGTTCAGCTCTCGAAATGTAAGCACAAACATGAAATCTACATCCTGATTGGCTTTTCCCTCGGCCCAGTCCAGAATGAACTTCTGCACAGAGACGGTTTTTCCAATTCCAGCGATGCCTTTAGTAAGAACCGTCTTTATTTTGTCTTTCTTCTCTCTTCTGTTCTCCTCATATCCTGGTTCAGGTAAAGGATTAAAGATGTCATTACAGTTGATTGGAGTGTCTTGGAGTGTCCTGTAACTTTTCTCCATCTGTAGCACCTCATGTTCTTCATTCACTCCTTCACTCTCTCCCTCTATGATGTACAGCTGTGTGTAAATCTGGTTCAGGAGGGTTTGATTCTCTTGTAGTTTGACTCCCTCAAATAAGCTCTCATACTTGTTCTTCATGCTGGTTTTGTGCTGGTCTTTGACTCTCTGCAGATCATCATGCACTGGTTGGTGAGAATCGAGCTGCAGAGCTGCTTCTGTGTCATTATGACTGAAGTGGTTCTGACTGTTTGAGGATGTGAAGATCTGACAGGACCCATATCTGATCTGGTCAGCTCTCCCACCACTGAAAACACATTAAGATGAACAGAGACTCAAAAACAAACAGAAAATACCTTTATCAAAATAGATAAAATATTACTTCTTGTGGCCAATTTATTTCCTGACATCACAAATGGAGTTTCTCAATGTTCTGTTCAAGAGCCAATATTGTTTCATATGCACTGTAGATTATTAATGCCCAGCAAAAATTTGAAGGCAGATAATGACCTGCATTGTATTTAAATGATTACTGAACATTTGAATACTGTAGACATGGTAAAACAGGACATTCAGACAGCCTACATATGGTAAAGAGAACAAGGCTCCTCGTCTACACTGCATGCCAACAAAGGAACTTTTGCTACACACACTGAGAACCGACAGAACGACCCATTTGGCATTTCAAATCCTGCTATGATGACCTGGTCTTTCATGAATATCAATACCTTGCTCAGAGTATAAAATGAAAAACTTGTGGGTGATGTTTGTAACTTTTTTTGTTGTTACTTTGTGGTAATTTTTTTTTTTCTTCTTGCTTAAATACTTTGCAATAATTCCTTCTTTTTTTTTTTGTTATTGATAAGTGTTAGAAGCTAAAGTGATTATAACTTACATTCATTAATCACTGTAGTAGTGAATTACAAATAAACACATTTAGACCCTTGTCTGTTCAACTCTAAACCTCTGATTTATCTTCTGCTTGGTAAAACAGAGGCTGTGGCTCATTATTTATACACATTAATGTTGTCTGAGTGCTCCGGTTAAATCCCACGCCACACTATCAGAATCCAACGAACAATCTTCCTTAAATATAATTATTTGTATCAACCACAACAACAATTTTAATAGAGACAGATTAATTATATTGGAGTCAGATAAAAAAAAATCGATTTCAAACATCATCCTGCAACTGTTTGTGTTCTGATTATTGCTTCAAAATAGAGGTGTAAACTTCCAGATTCACTGTCACAGAAATCCAATAGAGAAAAGCGGTGACACTTTATTTTAAGGTGTTCTTGTTACACAGGTTACATGTACTTACTATTATAATAACAATAAAGTATGCATAATTACATGCAACTAACCCTAAGCCAAACCCTCATCCTAACCCTAACCATATAGTAAGTACATGTTAATTAATATTAATATTACTTAAATGTATAATTACACTGTAACAAGGACACCTTAAAATAAAGTGTAACCAGAAAAGCAAATAAAACACAAAAAGAAAGAACAAATCTTTTTTAAAGTTTATTTCTATGATTTTTATTTATTCTGATGCACTTGTTGTTAAAAAGGAACATTAGTAGATGAATATTTATGAAAATAAATTATTTATTAATGTGTTAAATTGTGTTAAATGTCCCACCCTACATGATTATACTCAGACCGGCTCAAAGGGCACCTTGTCATTACTAAATTCAGGGGACTAAAATATATGTTACACATGATACTCACACAGAGTCAGAGGTCACAGGTCCATCACTGAGACCAATGGATTTGTTACTCTTCATAGACTCACAGCTAGATATTGGAGATGCTGCTCTCTTTCTATTCCTGCTGATGATACTGAGAAAAAGACAGAAACATTTCAGATTACTTCTCTGTAGTTTATCTGTCTTCTCAAATTAAACTTACATTTGTCAAAACTAGAATGTGTATAACATATAGTTGTAAAGAAAAAAAACAAATGTGTTATACACAATATTGCTTTAATAAAATACATACTTCAACCAGTTACAAATGAAAAATAACCAGTATGCATGTGAAATACTACTTGAATGCTATTAATGCAATACTGCTTGTATTTCTTTAAAATTTCTTTTAAAATAGACACATAGTACTGTATAAACCTTTTGATTTAATGAAGCAGAAATGAAGATTAGTGTCTGTCTTTAGCTTTTTCTTAAACTTTTTTTTTTTTTTTTTTTTTACTGTAGTACACTTTGAAAGTGTGTAGACCTAGAGTAAAATTTACAGCACACATCAGGGTTTGGATCAATATAATCAGATATGTGAGAAGCTAACTGTTGTTTGTGGAAAGCTGTCATAATTTCCCCTTACAAAATAAAGATGATTTTCAGTTTTTCAAAGTGCACAAAATGATGTAGGTTAGTAGTTCTCAAACTGTGGCACAAAGCACTACTCTGGAACATTTAGCTCTATATATTGTATATATATTAGGGGGTTTTAGGAACATGGTCAGAAACAACAGGTCTGCAACATCGAGCACCACAATTTTATTCTCATGCAAAAACAAAGAGCATTCAAAAACTGAATGGATCCACAAAAAAGGCTAGATATTGTTCTGTTTGACCTTAAAGCAGCACTATGTAACTTTTTCCGTTTTCAAAATTTGCAAAATGTATATAATGAGCAAGTACATCATGAATTCATCTTCCAAACCGCGTTTTTGTCTTATTCCGAATCACTACGGTACACTTATAATTAGGGATGTAACGATTCACTCAACTCACGATTCGATTCGATTCACGGTTTGGATTTCACGATTCGATTTGATTTGCGATTTTTTTTTTTTTTTCAAAATGAGGTTTAAGACAAATTATAAATTAAATGTGTCCTTTTATTATTGCTTGGACAAAATGCTGCACATTTCTTTGTGAAATTGAAATATAACACAATAATAATATACTAATATAGCACTTGCATATTATTGCTCTTTTGTTGGTTTTGATTGCTTCTATTGTCCTCATTTGTAAGTCGCTTTGGACAAAAGCGTCTGCTAAACGAACTTATAATAAGTACTTATATTTGGACTATTGTAGCCTGGTCGGGTCGTCACCGCTGCGGAGTAACACATACCTGCGTGAATTGCCATAGACATAAACTTAGAGAAGTAGCTCCGGTTGGAATGTTCTTCCGCGGGATGTGTGCAGTTCGGTTTATTAACCGCTAGAGCGCCTAAAGTTACATAGTGCTGCTTTAAAGTTGGTGAGCTATATTTCCTGTAGACAAGAGTTGTTTGTTTTGAGCATCATAAAGATAATGATAGCTGCTCAAACTTCTAGACTGATGAACGTTTACGATAAACATCATAAAATATGTAAATTTATCAAGTGTTAGTTGGAGTGCAAAACTTCTAAATGTTACTGGTGTATGTGAGTTTTAGATGCTGTTCTCGTCAGACTCTTCTAAAGATCTTCATGATATGTGCATTATGTGAATGCTGCTCACAAGTCCTTAAAGGACAGTTCACCTCCATTAAAAGTCCTTTGACCTTTTTAGATATTCAAAGTCTTGGTTGTGTGGACTTTCAATGGAGGGACAGAAAACTTTCAGGTTTCTTTAAAAATATCTTCATACTGTATGTGTTTTAAAGATCAAGTCTTGGGTTTGGAACGACATGAGGGTTAGTAAATAATGACAAATGTATTTTTTGAGTGAACTGCTTGAGTTCAAAGAGAATTCTATTTGTTCAGTGCTGAAAAAATCATTTGGATGTTTTAAGTTGCTCAAAAAGTAAGAAAACCCCTGATGTAGGTTTTTAAGAATAACACATTAGTGTTGCAGCATTTTGCAAATATTTGTACACTACATTGTTGTTTTTCCTTAAGCCAAACTGACCTTAGGTTTAATTTCAGTGGTTATGTGGGTGTTTGTCAGCAGGCATCTGCAAGTTTAATTAGTAATCTTTTATTATTACTATTATTAACATGAATGTTAAATCAAAAGAGCTCTAAAAATCTCTGAATCAGCTTCATACCCAGTCTTGGGTATTTGCATAAATCTGCCAACTTCCTCTGATCATTATATCACATCACTGGGACACAGACAGTTTTACAGCTTTAGTTAGTGAGCAGCATTAAATATTTTAGAAATAATAGATATAATAGATTGTCTTCTTTTCTTCATACAGTGATTTACTAATGTCTGCTTTTCAGAGTAAGAGACCTCAGTGAATGATTCACCATTTTAAAATATTACATAGCCAAGTTTCACTACAGCAGATAGTTGAGGACCTAGATGATACTCACACAGGGTCAGAGGTCACAGCAGCTCCATCACTGAGATTAGGGGGCTGATACATGATACATGAGTTGTTGCTCTTCATAGACACACAGCTGAATCCTGGAGATGCTGCTCTCTGAGCGTTAACATCACTGAGATTAGGGGGCTGATACATGATACATGAGTTGTTGCTCTTCATAGACACACAGCTGAATCCTGGAGATGCTGCTCTCTGAGTGTCAACAGAAGACTCCTGCTCTCTCTCCTCATAAACACTCATTTTACAGGCTTTTCTGCTTCTTTTCCTGCTAGATGAGACTTGATTTCAGGCCTGTATGTGGAGTCAGAGAACATACACTGAATTTGGATACACTAAAGCAAGTTAAAATTAACATTAACATTTATCTTAAGCATTTCAGGATTATGAGAAATATTTTTTCTAGCTCACATTTAACTCTGCAGCCTCTTCATAATACATAAATACAAATTAATTTAAAAACTGTAAAACATTGTAATGTAACATTATCACGCATGCTCAATTTACAGTTGTGGTCAAAAGTTTACATAGACTCTGAAAAAAATTGCTAAATGTTAATAATTTTACAAAAAATAAGTCGAACTACTATATCAAATTGAATAAATAAATAAGTAAATTAGAGGACAAAAATAACTCTATACTGTACATTTACCATTTTCAGCCATTTTATGAGTGAGAGTTTGCATCTTGAAAAATCTTGAGAGTAACTAAAAAATTAACATATCACCTGTACCCAGAGGTGCCTTAAGATAACCAGAGGCCCCTGGGCTACAGCATTAGGGCCCCCTTACCCCAGATTAAAAAAAGGTATTTTTTTAGCTTCCTAATGATTATTTAGCCTATGTTGAATTTAAATTCTTTGGTTATGCAAACCAATTGTTGCAGCAGCTGTCCGGGTAGCTGGTCTCAGACGATCTTGGAGATGAAGATGTCCTGGGCTGGTGTGGTTATTCTCGGAAACGCCTTTGGAGATGGCTTATGGTAGAGAAATTAACATTCAATTCACGGGCAACAGCTCTGGTGGACATTCCTGCAGTCAGCATGCCAATTGCACGCTCCCTCAAAACTTGCGACATCTGTGGCATTGTGCTGTGTGATAAAACTGCACATTTTAGAGTGGCCTTTTATTGTGGCCAGCCTAAGGCACACCTGTGCAATAATCATGCTGTCTAATCAGCATCTTGATATGCCACACCTGTGAGGTGGATGATTATCTCGGCAAAGGAGAAGTTACTCCTTAGTATCTCACTAACACAGATTTAGACAGATTTGTGAACAATATTTGAGAGAAATAGGCCTTTTGTGTACATAGAAAAAGTCTTAGATCTTTGAGTTCAGCTCATGAAAAATGGGGGCAAAAACAAAAGTGTTGCGTTTATAATTTTGTTCAGTGTGTATATATATATATATATATAGAGAGAGAGAGACATGTGCCAGTATTCGGTAATTAGGTATATCACGGTAATGAATATGCACGATATTGTTATTGTGGGTACTTCAAAATACTGTGAATAATTATTTATTATAAATAATTCAGATTTTTTTTTAAGAAATAGAATAGAAATATTATAAAATATTTTTTTGAATGCATTAAGAATAATTTTCCCATCAACTGGTTACAATGCACAACATACATGCATGTTTGAAAGACGCATACGCACTCTGTTGTAAACAAGCACAAATGAGAAGCGCATGGCGGAGCACGTGAGAGATGCTCTGGATAAAGCGCACATTCACTCTCCGACAGCAGATGGCGCTAAACTGCAGAAAATGCAGCCGTTACCCTGGAAACTCCATAAATAAAGCCATTCAGATTGTTGTATTCGCAGTGGTGTTCAACACAGTGGCAAGTACTTAAATATTTAGACTTAATAGGCTATTTATTTTCAAACTTTTTTTTTTTTTACATTTTAATCTGGACTACAACATGCCCTAGATATTGTTTGAAAGTGTTTTGATTCTTTATTGTTCGGTCACACTTTACATTAGGGCTTCATATTATGTTAATTAATTAGTTAAACTGCCAATGAAAAAAAAATTTTTTCTAATCTTAGGTAATTCCAATATTTAATAACACATTGCTAAAATCAAAAGTTGCAACTGTGTTATTTAATTCTGTTTCTGTTCTGTTGAGCTTATGAATGCAATGGCCAATCAGAGGCGTTCAGAAGAGTCATGGCTGAAACGCCGCTGTTTTATCACTGCGCGCTCGATGACTGAATTCTCTGGCGAAATCTTTCATCAGAAACAATGAAGTGCAGATGTGCGTACGAATGTAAGTAAGATATTCATTCATTTCACACTGTACACAGCTTAAGTAATTATAATGGGAGTTTTTGAGAGTGCTTGAACTCTGGCTAAACTAAATGAAAATGTTCTTTGATAATGTAAATGTTCTTTGCTCTCTTTCTGTACAATGAA